TCAAAATAAAAGTGTAAAATTGTATATATATATATATATATACAATTTTACAATTTTATTTTGACAAAATAAATTATTAATTTAATTTAAATTAAATTTCATCGAAATGACCAGGCACCATGGTAAATTTGAAGGGCTATGTTTGATTATTAATGTCAAATCTTCTCCCTCAAATGAATTGGCTAGTGATTACAGTGCTGTGAAAACTGGTTTACACCTCACCAATGAAGACACTGGATTTTACACGATGTATTCGACCTCGCTGTATGATACATGAAGCAGAAGCTGAATTCTACTCGAGGAGGAAGAACATTGTAATGTGAAACGCTATCCACACGCTTACCTCCACGGGCAGCACAATGTAGCAAGAGCACATTTCACACATCATTTGAATGTTACACATGATGAATTGTGCTGAAAGGAGTGTTCACGACCGGATTTGTAACATTACAAACAATATTAATCATCGTTATTTCAAATAGTCACCAAACTAGTCATTCTTCCAGTGGGTTACACTTCATCTGTGAGACTGATAGAGGCACACGATGTATAATATACATCACAGTGTACAGTGTGGAAAGAGATAAAGTTGCTTTATACATTTGATGTGCTCATTCTCTACTCAAATATGTAGTCAAAAACACATTTAGAGAACATTTGTAGAAATAGGTTCAGCTTCATGTTGCTGTTAATGACCGATTTCTTTCTTAATGAACCCTGCTTAAGGCTATTCACGATGTTGCTGTGTGTGTAAATGACAGTAGTGACGCCCCGGGCCCCGGGCCCTCACACACTCCACATGCTAAATGCAATATACAAGACAACTTATAACAAATAATAATACTGGCTCGGGGACACAAGGACATTGTGATGTGAAATATGTGCTATATGCAAATACGATTTGTTCTTTGGCTTAATAATCATGAAAATATCAATTTAATGTTCTTAATTTGAGGCATGATTTTTTTTTTTTCTTTAGCATTCATTTATTCTTTTATTTTGATTAATGCCACATTGGATTTTATTGCAACTGCCCAGGAAATGTTGATCTCTGAGTGACGACGGACATGGCGTTCATATGTAACTTGTACGCAAAACTGTGGGTAAAATTTTATTTTTGCACAAGTTGGTATGGCCTTAATTTTGGGGGGGGGTTTATTTGCTTCTATTGTGTATTGGCACAAAGTGCATCTCTTCATTCGCTTCTCGTCATAATCCGAGTGCAGTGAAAAGAACAGCAAATTCTTATTTTTATGTTCCAATACTAAAACATGGAATTTTTGCATGAATAAAATTAAATGGCAGATATTTTTGGCTTGTACAGAAATGTGAGCAATTTGAAGAAAAAAGGAATGTACCATTTCTGCTATATCTGTATATAACACGATATTTATTGAAATATGTCCTAATGCTAAATCTAATTCTGCTATTAAAGGTTTTCTGAACTAAAGCATCTGAAGGGTTTGTGAGGATTGTGACGTTTGTGTGAGCTGGACTGAGAATCACCATGACCTATGTTTCAATGACGTGTTCTGTGTGTTTCTTCAATTTCATTTATTCCAAGAAAAACATTCCATACCTACAATGACTTGAATATACCTCTTCTATGATGAACATGTTTTCAACTTCTGAATTAAAATTATTTTTTATACTTCTTTGGGGAATACATGTAAAAAACGACAGGGTTGCTGTAATGACGAAAAAGTGTGGTGAAATTCTTCACAATATTGTATTGTTTTTTCTAAAGAGCAGTATGTGAAGCAGTTATGTTACTGCTTTTGCTACTCATAATATATGACAACATATATATATATTGTTAAGCAAGCTGGAATAACTCGTTGTATTACACTTCAAGTCAAGTCAAGTTGAGCTTTATTGTCATTCTGCTGCATGTGGGGACATACAGTGGAACGAAATGTCGTGCCTCACAGGACCACGGTGTTACATAAATACAGGCATACAACAATGAAGTAAAACAGTAAACACCTATACAGTAAAGCAGTAAAAACCTATACACAACTAACCTACTGACTGATTTTGATTATAAATATACTATAGCCTGGGGGAAAAAGCTGTTGAGCAGTCTGGCGGAGCGGGCTCTGATGCTCCGGTACCGTCTTCCTGATGGTAGGAGCTGGAAGAGACTGTGGGAGGGATGGGTGGGGTCCTTCACGATACTGTTGGCTTTGCTGGAGCATCGTGTAAGGAAAATGTCCAGGATGGAGGGGAGAGGGGCACCGATGATCTTTGCAGCTGTGTTCACTGTCCGCTGGAGGGTCTTGCGGTCTGCTGCACTACAGTTCCCATACCAGACAGTGATGCAGCTGGTCAGCACGCACTCAATGGTGCCCCTATAGAATGTGGTGAGGATGGGTGGAGGGAGACTCCCTCTTTTAACATTTAAAAGTCAAAGTCAAGTTGAATATTGAAATTAATATTCTTAGTTTGAATAATTTGCTTGTTTGGAGCTTTATATACCCCAACCAGTTTTAGAGGAAAGTCAATTAAGCAGATGCAGGCACTGGAAAGTACACTTTGCACAAATTTCCCAGAGGCCCCGTATGGCTGCATTTAAATCCATCCATACTCGGCCTTATGGCCATCCTCGCTCAGGCTTTTAAATTATGCAAGTGGATTATGGACCACAAAGGCTCAGTCAATTCTTCCCCTCGCTTGAGTAGTCTGGAAAAGCCCCCTCCCCCATTTCCAGACCACCCGACCCCTCTGACGCGTTACAGTGGGACTGGAATTGCATTACAGCTGACACTGAAAACCGCCGCGGGGCCTGAAGCCAGTGAAACATGAAGGCTTTGACAGAATGTTTTTTCCCTCAATATATGAGAAATTAATATTTTCAGTCTGAGCTAGGAATTTTGAGCATTTTGTTTTATTAACAACTTTGCAATAAAATAAAAACTCTGAATGAATGAATGAATGAATTATGCATTTATATAGCGCTTTACTGTGTATTGTTGTACACCCAAAGCGCTTTACAATCATGTGGGGGGGGGTCTCTCCTCAACCACCACCAGTGTGCAGCATCCACTTGGATGATGCGACGGCAGCCACAGGACAGCGGCGCCAGTGCGCTCACCACACACCAGCTACAGGTGGAGAGGAGAGAGAGTCATAGAGCCAATCAAGTGGATGGGGATTATTAGGAGGCCATGATTGACAAGGGCCAGGGGGGGCAATTTGGCCAGGACACCGGGGTTACACCCCTACTCTTTACGAGAAGTGCCATGGGATTTTTAATGACCACAGAGAGTCATTAAAAACATTATGTGTTGATTCATATTTATATTGTTAGGAAGATTCTACTAAAAAATTTAATGCACGTAAACTCTACATAGTGATATGGGCTAATTTTGATGTGCAATATACACAGTGCAAGAAACTGATTTCAAACTTTGAATTGAATTTAAACAAAAAAGACAAGTAAACCGTAATAAAAAAAATAAATAAATAAATAAATAAATGACTAGCAATAGCACAAACAAATACAATAAATATATACAAATGAAA